GGGGCGGGGCGACTACCACTCCCAGCATTCCTTGGGCGCCTCCCTTCTCCGCGGAGGTCGCGGTCACGTGAGCAGGGACGGGCGACATTCTCTTCGGCCACGTCCGAGGGTGCAGCCGGGTTTCGTGGACCAGGGCACCGGCAGGGCTCCCCTGGGACTGACCGAGGACGATTTAAACTGCGCTGGAACTTGTAAGTAAATAAAGTGTGTGTACAACTTTTCCACGTTTCAATATCTGATCTGATGTCCTTTCGAAAGATCTTTCGGAAGCGAGTCCTCCCCACCCCCACCTGCCTACCGCAAAAACCCTACGACGAAGCAGGTAGCGGCTCTTCTTGTTTCGGAGTCTGAAAGACGGGCAGCAGCCCCGTAAATACTAAGTAGGGTAAGGTGGGGGTGCGGGTTGGGTTTGGGCTCTGAGGCGAGCGGCGCTCCTCAGCGCACCCCGGCAGCCTACCTGTGCGGGGCGGAGCGGGGCGGTTACTCCCTTTCCTTCCGCGTCCAGCGGGACCCCGTCCTTGGCCGCCTCCATCCTTCTTAGGTAGGAGCCTCCACGCACCTTTTTGTCACCTTAAAGGTGCCAACGAGGGCAGAGTTTGAAGTTTCAGCAAGACCCCGCAGGGCCCATTTTGCCCGCACGTCGCGCGTGGCTTCGGGCCGCGCGTCCCCCGGCGAGAAGTGGACCCCGCGCCGCCTCCAAGCACCGGGCGGAGTCGCTGGGCCTTCGGCGCCCCCCAGAGACCCGTTACCTTAACCGGAGTCCACTTACTGGTTTTTGTTTCAGTTTCACTCGCCTTTAGGTTGTAAAACGTTTTATTCTGGATCTGTAGGAAAGATCTTCCCCTTGTCACTTTTTTTTTTTTTAAGAATTAGGGCTAAGGACGGTTCAGCGCACGATGAGTATACAAATGGCCAGTGGAGAATCGTTTAATTTAAAAAGGAGACTTTATGGTGGAGGAACTAAAAATGTTCTTGGAAGTGCGTGCGTGCCCCGGAGCGGTTTGAAAGCCCGACGGGGGCTGTGGAAGCCTCGAGAGCCTCTCCTGGGTAATGCGCACCAGGCCCGGGCAGAGTCCGCGGCTCGGTGATCGGCTCGGCCGCCGGTTGTCCCGAAGCCTTGAGTGACTCACTGAAGCTCTCTTTCACTTCTTTTCCCTCCGAGGGTAGAGGCCATAATGCTGGGCTGAGAGCTGCTTTGATTCACAAATAAAGTAACGTAAGCATTTAGTAAATTATTTGAGGATCCTAGGGTATTTTAATAATGTCTTGGGTCTTGTATCTATAATTTATTTTTGCCTGGGAGGTCATTTTAAGCTGCATTCCTTGGAAATCCCAGTTTCTCTGAAGCGCCACTCGAGCTTTCTGAAGGAAAGTGTGCTCGGAGAAGCCATGACTCCTTTGGTTGTCATTGTTCATTCAGAACTTTAATTGTTAAAACTTTATTAATCTTCTACATCTCATGGCTACTCCTGTGTCCCACGAGATAATTCAATGTCACGACTATTATACTTTATCCTTACTTTTGCTCGGCACATCCAGCATTTGTGAATAATAAAGAAGAATGCCCTCAACATCGGTGAACAGGCGTAGACTTTGGGGTCAGACCTGAGCTGAATTCCTGTCTACTAACGTGATCACTGAGTCCATTTCCTCTGTAAAGTGGGGATTCATAGGGTTATTCAGAGTATTGAATGGGATCACTTTAGACCCAATAAATGGGAACTGTTATTACTAATCGGGCTACTTTCCTCTCTACTAACATTAAAGGAGCTGTTGACCCATGATTTTGATCAAAGTAAAAGAATAAAAGTCACCCATAATCCCACTCAATAAATCAATCCCACTCAATAAATCAAATTGTTTTAATGTTTTGTCCTCTGCTTTAATCATTGGCCATAGGTATACGTGATGTGAATGTCATAACATTTAAAACATTGGTTTGTTGACTTCTGAGGGTTTTCTTTTTATTATGTAAATAAAGCTCTCTGGCCCAGTCTTTATTCTGATCCACTAGTAAAGATACAGCAGGACTTTCCCTTAGCACAATTTCCCCTGCTTCCCCATTCCCCAAAATGAAACCTCTGGTTGTTTTTTAATACGGTAAATAATAATAGAGTGTTTGAGAACTTCTTTTGTGCTCCATAGTGGTAAGTGCTGCACATTCTCTCTTTAAGCTTCACAGTGCCTCTTTCACCTAGGTGGTGTTATTCCATTTTGTGGTTAAGAAAACCAAGGCATGGAGAAGAGCAGCAGGTCACGTGCTGGAGCAGGTTGTTTAGGCCCAGGCAGTCTGGCTCCAGAGGACAGCCCTGCAAGGAGTTTATATTTACACATTCACTATGTGGCGAGTAGGCCAAACATACAGGCAGGAGTTGACTGGGGCTTACAACTTCTTTGTATAAAAGTAACAGTATTTGTACTTTATAATTACTACTGTGACCACCACATTTAAAAACATTTTTTTATAGGAAAATAAGAATAGGGAAGCATTTAGTACCTTAACAAATGAAGCATTCACCTATAGTTTTATTAGATGTGGCAGTAAAAATATGATTTATACCCATCATTAAGACTAATTTTTCCCTTTTTTTATTAGAGATAAACATAGTGCCAAAGAAAACTAACTTTTCTTCTTTAAAGCAGTGTTTCTTAAATCATCTGGTGAACCTGTTAAAACACAAACTCCTACATCAGACCTTCCAGGATTCTGGTCTAGTAGGTCTGGGGTAGGGCCCAAGAATTTGCATTTCAAACAGGCTTCCAAGGGATGTTAATGATTTCCAGCTAATGAGTTTAGTAAAGAAGCAAATATTAATGCTGGTTGTCCAAATTGTTGGCCTGATAGTAAAAGCAGGAGCACCCAGCTCTTAGTTCTTCTTCTTGTTGTTAATCCTCACCTGAGGATATGTTTTCCGTTGATTTTTTTTTTTAGATTTTTAGAGAACGTGGAAGGGAGGAAGGGAGGTGGGGAGAGAGAGAGAAACATAGATGTGAGAGATACATCATTTGGTTGCCTCCCACACATGCCACAGGGCTGGGGATATAACTGCAACCCAGCCATGTGCCCTTGACCAGGAATCAAGCCTGAGACCCTTCTATGTGTGGGCTGAGTCTCTAACCACTGGGCCACACCCGCCAGCTCTTGGTTTTTAAACACTATCCTTCTATGAAAAGAACCAGGATTTTTTGGAATAGTTGATCCCAGGGCTCGGACAGGGAAAATACAAAATCAGACTGGAATACCTGACTGTGCTTGAAATTAAGCTAATGCTCAAAGAAATTTGAGGGCTGTTGAAAGGACTCAGGAGCCAGCTTGAAGGAGCTCCTCATGGCCAAAGTTGGAACAATTTGAGCAAAATGAAAATTATAGTACTGGATTTTAATACAGAGAATAAAGTAAGTATCCATGAGTTCATATTAACCTAGTTGATTAAATAAATAGGAGAGAAGGGACAACCCTTTTTTATAGAAGAATTCCAATGAATAAACATGGGAAGCATGAAAAAGAAATTCACCAGTACGCAAACCATACTGTAGTAATGGCCTGTGATGCTAGTGGGTGGAAGTTGGAGGAAAATCTGGATACCTGCGTAGTCTCAAAATATCTCCCCAAAGATAATTAGCTTCAAAGGAAAAATGTAATAATATTGGAGATACAATATTCACCAGCTGATTGAGGTTAACAGTGAACATTAGGAACCCAGTGACAAGATGCAGTTAGTACACATTACCATTTCTGTGCTGTTGTCAAAAATGCATAAACCCTTTTTCTAATCATGAAGAAACATTATACAAACCCAAATTGAGGGATATTCTACAAAATAACTGACCAGTACTGTAAAAAGTGTCAAGGTCACGAACATCAGGGAAGGTCACAATAGACAGGTAAAAACCAAAGTCATTGCATACTCAGGAGAATTAACAACTAAATGGAATGTGGGATCCTGGATTGGACTCTGGAACAAAAAAAGGACAGTAGTGGAGAAACTGGTGAAATTTGATCAATCTGTAGTTTAGTTAATTATACCATTGTACCAATGTAATCATAAACATTGTACCAATGTTAATTTCTTGTTTTTAATAATTGTACTTTAATTTTATGAAATGTTGACTTTAGGAGAAACTGGATAAAGGTATAAGGGAACTCTGCTCTATTTTTGCAACTTTTAAAATTACTGTCATGCACCACTTAATGACACAGATGTGTTCTGAGAAATACTTCATTAGGCGATTTTGTTGTCTTAATATCATGAAGTGCACGAACCTAGATGGTATAGTCTACTGCACACCTAGGCTACATGGTTGGTATAGCCTATTGCTTCTAGGCTTCAAGCCCGTATAATGTTACTGCACAAAACAACCTGAGATTAAATCAAGCACAAGAGAAAATGATGCACTCAGGAGACTTGGTAAACATGAGATGTTTTACAGCAAACTTTATAAGTAGAAAGAGTACATTCTAAAGATAAACAGTGTAGTATAGTAAATGCATAAACCAGTAGCATAGTATTATGTACTGTACATAAGTATCCATGCTATACTTTTATACAATTGGCAGCACAGTAGGTTTGTTTACACCAGCATCACCACAAACAGGACTAATGTACTGGGCTATGGCGTCTGTACAGTGTTACTACGGGATAGGAATTTTTCAGCTCTATTAGATGTGGTCCTGCGTGTGGCCCGTCATTGACCACATATGGGGCACATGACTGTAGTTCAAAATAAAAAGTTTAATAAAAATGTGCTGGGTCCTAGCCGGTTCGCTCAGTGGTTAGAGCACCGGCCCACAGACTGAAGGGTCCTGGGTTTGATTCTGGCCAAGGGCACGTACCTTGGTTGTAGGCTCGATCCGCAACCGTGGTCAGGGCACATGCGGGAGGAAACCAATCCATGTGTCTCTCTCACATTGATGTTTCTTTCCCCCCCACCCCACCCCCTTCCACTCTCTGAAGAACAATGGAAAAAATATCTTAGGGTGAGGATTAAAAAAATAAATTTAAAAAAATGTGTTGGCATGATGTAGATATTAAAGGTGATGATGAGAGTTGAGCTAAAACTGGGAATCAGTTATGCTTCCCACTGTAAAAAATCTTAGATCCTTTGTGCATTGCTTTTTGCCTCTACTGGTCAACCTAAACCTGAGATACAAGTCAAGGGAGTTGGGAGGGAGTAAGGAGGGTAAGAAGGA